TATATATATATATATACATTTTTTACGTTCTATATACGTATATAGGACGAGAAAAATAAGTTAAAGAATTATGCCACGGTAACGAAGGACTCTCGCATCCTAGATTAAGATACTTATATTTACAAGAACGCAGGATACGACTTCTTCATACCTGACGAAGCGACGCGCTAATAGCAGCAACTCGTTTGCACTCGTACGAAACAGACGCGATCGAGTGTACTTGCGTAACACGGAAACAATATTGAGGAAGAAATTAGCAATTTCGATTTTCGATATCAGTCCCAAGTTGGAGTGCGATGGATGTGTCTTTTTTTCCTTTCGTTCGGTTGCCGTCGTGCATGCGTTAAATACATGCGATAAACTCGGTGCGAAGTCTCAGCCGATAGTAGATTTGATCCAATCAATGTGTGACGAAATTTTATCATACAGTCGAGGTCTCTCAATGCCGTCTTTTGAACAGGCTATCCTCCAACTGCCGATGCCCATCAGTGCCCATTTCCGATTATCCGCTTGAAGGCACAGCATTGGACTGCCGGCGAGTTCCTCCTCCTGTTCAAATTTAACAATATAGCATCTTGCGCTACTAATTCCTGGAATTGCTAATTACGAAGAAGAAGTAATTTTTCTCTTGGACAGTGGGAGAGAGGGGATATTAATTTATAATTTCTAATATAAATGCGAATAATGCATTCGTTTATATAATAAATATTTTGAAAGAAGAAAAAAACGAGTATTTTCGTCGTAATATCTTGGCTTACGTTGCAATCGTCCATGGAGTATGCCTGCTCGGTGCAAACACTGTTTACTGACGGGATGCTAATATTTTCGCACCTCTCCATCTCGCTGTGTTTGAGTTGTACCCTTTGCAGCAAATCGCCTGTCTCGTAAAGAACAGACGATATATATTGTCTATCAAGAAAGTTTTTATCTCGCTTTACTGAAGAAATAATGATATATTAATACTCAGAGCTAAAGTATTATTTTTTTTTAATTTAATTCGTAACATTCTGCTCGAATAGCATTAAAATATTGTTGAAGAGTAAACAAATTTGATTCGAACAAATTTATGTCGTCGACAAGATACACATATAACGAAATACGTTTTTAAATTAAATATTTCTCTAATGAAAGAGACATCGTGCTATTAGAACGTCAAATAGATATTTTAAAAATGTTCAATAAAGCGGCAAGAATAATCAAACTTTCTAAATATTTGAGAACCTCGAGTTCCAAACACACAGACAGAAATCAATATAAAATGATCGGCAACGTACGGTTTCTAGCCCAGCCGAGAGTGTTGCATTGCGACGCGTTGCTCGGTGGATCCTCGCTGGAGGGCAGGCAAACCGGTCTCACGAAGTCCGAAAAGGTCGTCACCGGTCTGTCCAATTTCACCAGAACGGTCGTGCCTTCCACCGGTGATTTAATCATGCCGATGATTCTACGTTCTTGTTGCCAAGGTGAAGTGCTCGAGAGCCGTACGACGCCGAGTCTGGCGGACCATTCGGCTTTTGGTTGACTACAATGACAATTGACTCCGTAGAAATTACGATACAATAAAATCCGCTCTTTTGTATAGTTTATTATACGTAACACATAATCAAGCGACAACGTTTGTGCTCACCCTTGGAAACAATACGCGGTTGTGAGCAACCAGTTATCCGCCACCAGAGTGGCGTCGCAAACGTGGACGCCTTCCTTGAATAATGCAACGTGCCAAGGCCAGTCTCCGGGTTCTGCCATTTTATTGAGACCTTCGGTGCCGCCATTAGCACGTAAAGGTTGTATCCCGCACTCTGGTTTCAAAGGAAACCGAAAAGTTCATGAAAATTCACGATAATACAATAATACATAAATGATGATGTAGTTAAAACATTTATCGCAAGCTATCATAGAATATTATTATAATTGCGTCGTAATATTCGTATATAGATTGAGCTTAAAATATTTGATAAAATATTGGACAATTCATACCGAGATCGGAGCATTGAACGTATAGTACTTCCTTGCTGGGACAAGGAGCTCTGACGAAAGTTATTTCCGGTGCTGATGGGTCTTCCATGTAGACATAAGGAACATCCTCCTCATCGTCAATTCGTACTTCGACGAAAGCGACACCGCTATAATCGCAAGACACGACGATTTCTGTTACGATCTTTTTTTATAATATATATTTCACTCGACACGAGTATAAAATATTAATATATACGTTTAATTATTACATATATTATTATATATTTAATTAAATATTACATATCACTTATAAAAGTATTTCACATTCAATTGTTTTATAAGGTGATATATTTTTTATGATAATCGACATCCGTCTCAAATTACTGATTGACGCTATATTTCTTAAATACATCGTAGAAGGCACTTTCGCAAAATCAGAATTCACTAAGCAACGCGAATACTTACGAATAAGTGAGTAAAGTGCACAACGAGCTCGCTGCTGTTTGCAAAACATTATCCATCTCCGTTTCCGGGAGGGTAGCGTTTAAGTTCGCCGTACAAAGCTTCCCGACGGTGCCTTTTTCATTGAACACAACGTAGCCCTCTTTGATGTATCTCGCGGCGTGCGGTGTGCTCCATGATTGCGATCTTAACGCTTGAACGCTCGGTGCTAAAAACACTATCGTAACAAAGTGTATAATACAAAAATTAAAATAATATACAGAAAAAGAGAAATTATATCATTTCTAAAACGATTTTCTTATCTGCAAATTTTCCTAAAATCCCCCGATGTTTTGATGTTATCAGCGCTGCTCGTTGCATATTACTTACGGCAATCTTTCTCATCGCTGCCATTCGGACAGTCCGCCTTGCCGTCGCATCGCTTCGCTTGCGGTATGCAAGCTCTTCCCACTCCGCAGTGCATGTGACCATCTCGACAATAGGCGCAGTTCTTCTCGTCCGAAAGATCCGGACAGTCGATTATGCCGTCGCAAATCCTCGGGGACAGAGCCTTCGACTGAAGTGCTTGGACGCATCCTGTTGACGCGTGTATCAATCAATTTCAGTTCACCGAACACACTACTCTCAATATCTTCCGTGAAGAAAGACCCCGCTTGCAATCATTATATTATGTTGCGTAACCGAGGTAATTACTCTCACCTGGTTTCGGTCTGCAACTACCAGGGTCGACGTACTCCGGAAAATTGGAGCAATCCAAGGCGCGTTTGATCTTCTCGGGGAGACGACTGCCGCATCCGTTCCAGAACTCCCTGCAGAAGCTGCGGCAAGGCAATTGCAGCAGATCCTCCGGCTGACTCGATCGACACGCGGGCTGCAGTGCCTGGCAGACGAAGTCGTAGGCCAACGGATAGCATTCCGCGTCCACTAACTCCCTAATTTCGATATGATCATTGGAGCAATTCGATTCAAGTTACATTGCACTGTTATTCCATGTGCATTATACGGGGTGAGACGGTAACTGTTATCATCTTCAATATCTCCGAAAAATAAAAAAATTGTATTCACGACTAGATGAAGGCAAAGAACGTTTACATTCAGATGAAGGTGTTCGACGACCTTTGGTATCGATGCAATTTCTGCTAGGTAAAATGTCCTCCTATTCTTACGTTTCGTATGTGATAATAGTTATTGCTTCACCTTATATATACACCGAAAAATAAAAAAAAAATAAAAAATATCTACTCGGTAGGTATTAATATTTACTTAAGTCTAAATCCTTTTATGTAGATAGAATAAACAATTATTTTCGTGAGAAACTACAAATTTAAGAAAATGTGTTTTACTTTTTCTCTCAGTGTAGAAATATGTATATTAGTCAAGTAAATATGCTATTAATACTCATCGAATAAATATTGTTTATTTCGTAGATCTTTTTTCTCTCTGGGATAGTTATGTATAAATTAGCGATTTATTTCCGATCCACTGTTATGAATCTATCCAATTTGCGAAAAAATACCTGAAAGCGATAACATCTTCCTCGACATCAGCCAGCGACCTGTGCCCTAATATATTCGGGTACGAGCTGATATTATACGGCAGATGTTTGCAGTAGGGTAAGTCCAGCTTACTGCATCTTCTCGGCGGAGGGGCTGTCGTCGTCGGCGGTAACGTCGAGACGGTCGATTGCAGGCTGATCTGCGCATTGAGGGCCTTCAGACTTTCTTGCACCTCAAGACTCTTCGCCTCTATCGTCAGATTCGCGAGGTATCGCGAGGTTTCCGGGCTCAACTCTCGAGACAGAATGTCCACAATATTGCCGGTAGTTATTGTCTGATATCGTGGGTCAAATTTCACGTCGAAGTGTACCACCAAGTCGCGACCTTCGGTTCTACAAATGTTTAAACATAAAAGATGAACGTTAAAAAAATTAACCAAAGAAATAAAAAAATTGGAAAATATTTAAAATTTATCAATGACTAACATGGTGTGGGGTAATTTCGCTCTCTTATTTATTTATAATCTTAACATGATACCATTTGCAGTGTCTAATATTTTTCTTTCGTTAAGGTATTATATTCGTTAAAGTACTATATTAAGGTATTATATTCGGCGGAAAACGCGGAAAACGTCGTGTGTCTCGATTTACCTAAAAATTGAGGAATTCTTTCAGTTGCTTGGTAATTTGCCCATTAAATTTGTCATTACCGTTGAAAAATTTCAGGCGGAGAAAAAGAGATCCCTAATCAGGCTCTGAAATGACATTGCAACACTGCAGCTCTCTCGTCCGGAGCAACGAGGATAAATCGGTGAAATCCGCAAACACGTGTGTGATACATTATTGATGAACGCGGCGGCCGATAATGGTTGTAACATCTCATCGCGCGCGCCGTAAGGAGCAAGTGTCGTGAGATCACGAGAAAGCTGCGAAACGATCTCGCTCGATTTCTCTGCCGCGTGCAGCCGCCGGAGAACGCTGCTTCCATCGGTTTCACGGCGCGTCAGTTATCTTCGTGCCGGTATTTCCTTCTACGAAAATCGATTTCTCGAAAGCAAAACAGGAAAACCAGGTGGCGTTCCTCAGAAGCGTTCCACGGCACACGTAATCGGCCAATTTTCTGATCTTACACCGCGCATTGGAGGCCGTTGCATAATTTGCTTAACTGGCACCTTTAGGGTGTGCCTCGCGCGACAGTGCCAAGTAATTACAGGCGAAGGTGAGAGAGACAGATGGGAACAGGCTCGAAATTTAGATGCGAGAAGACGATGTACGCAGCTTCTGCTCTCGTCCGCATTACGTCCAATTAGATCTCGAGCAGGAAATTATTACAACGGATCTGACTGATGAGGCAGGCTTTTCATTACCCGTCGAGCGCCAAGACGTCCGATGCGAGGAACGATATCTTCAGCCAGCTGCGACGGAAGATGAGATTGAGGCGATCGCGATACTCCCGCGATCGCAGTCGGAATGCCTCGGTGGAGGGGTCCGCCAGTTCCGCGGTGAAGGAGTCACCCTTGATGACGCGGAATGTCGCGAGGAATATCTGGTCGCTGGGTGGGTCCGTGGTGAGGAATGTGTCTGAAATTAAAAGGAAGGGGAAGCTGTCACTCGATCGGGAGCTCGAATTCTCGTTACTCAATCTAATAATTAAATATAATTAAATGGTAATATTTGTAATTGATATAGTTAATAGAAAATAATAATATAATTCATTTATAATTGATATAGTTGATAGAAAATAATTATACAATTCATTTATAATTGATATAGTTATATCGTTACTCATATATATATATAATTGATATAGTTATATCGTTACTCATATATATATATAATTGATATAGTTATATCGTTACTCATATATATATATATATATATGAGTAACGATATAACTATATCAATTATAAATATATATAAGTTGTATAGCTAAAAAACTGCTTTGTTCAATTTTTTCTCGGAAAGAAACTGAAGAAATCTGTGGAAAAAAAATGAAAAATCCGATTTTTCCAAATGTTTTCACTCATCCACGGTAAGAAAGCAGATTTTCTTCGAGCATTTAAAACTAATAATAAATCGTGTAAATAAAATTAATGACGCGTGAAAGTGCGGAGACTACGGCTTACGCGACGAGGATCCGGCGAATTAACGATTTTACCGCGGTTCCCGCGCGTCGATCTAATTAGCGGGCGGATCCGCGAGCAACGGGAGACGCGTTAATCAACGCGAAGGGACGGTTACACCGTGGACGCAGGCAAAAGTTGATCGCCTCGTTGTGCATTACGCGGCCGTGAAAATGGCGGCGTCCTCGTTATCGCTAACAACGCTTAATAAATAATTATCATGCGCCGCTTCATTAAACCGTAGTTGCCGGTCACCGCGCGCTCGCTCGCGCGCCACCGCGCTGCCTCCGACGAAAACCATAAGAATTTACGAGATTTACCCGGATAATTCGTCGAGTGCCACTTACGAGAGACGCCGTAACGATCCACCGATGATGACGGTCGCGTCTCGGTGGTTTCCCGCGAAACCGCCTGGCCGAGGTAAGTAGCCGCAAAGGAAGGAATTTAGAACGTCGCGACTCGCGCAGCCACAACTCCCGCTGTAATTCGCGGTGTATCACACCGGCTGGCTTTCTAATGTATGTGCGATCGGCAAATGATAGAGCCGGGCTGCCGGGGAACGTGCCAACAATGTTGCGCCGCGGAAAAGGCGGATTTCGCTCCCCGAGCGCTGTCATTACGACGTCGCTCGGCCGGCCGGTCGGTCAATTTTCCGCGAGCCGGCCGATACGAGAGACAAATCGGGAGCACGCAGGTGCCCGCAGCGATCCCCCGGCCGCTCTCGGTTCCTAAGGAGCGTTAGCTAGGAATCACCTTTCACCGGCCGGCCCGATTCGCCCCGCGAGAGAGAGCACCTTCTTGACCCCCATGGCACAGCCATGGGCGGCGCGAACTATCTTTTCCAGAGGTAACAAGATAATCGCGGGGCTCTCCTCTCATTAGCTCGGAGGAATCTAGCGCGCGATAGTCATCCTTCGCTCATTTTCATCCGAACCCGGGACGAGGCTCGCGCTGTGAGAACACCTCTGGATTTCTACCGACGAGTGTATGAAACTCTTCTCTTCTCATGTGAAGAAGAAGATGAAGAAGGAGAACAGAGAAATGGAGTTTCTTCTTCCCATAATTCACAACTTCTCCCTGGCGATCCCCCCGAGATTTCCTTCTTCGGAACATTGCTCCTTTTTGTTCAGGAACTCTTGGACGAACGGAAATACCTTGCGGTCTCAAACATCGTCTAACTCGATCGATTCGGGTGGCTGAAAATTGGGAAATGACGCCGCGCTAAATCTCATTGGTTAATCGCGACGCCTATGACGAGGCCTCTCCACGCGGATACGCCGCGATTCCGAGATACTCGTGCGAGTGTGCAGCTACACTTTTCTCATGTGTGACTAATGAACGTTGCATTATCGCACGCGAAGTGCGAGTGCGAACCTAGAAACACTTCCTCGTGCATGTTCAGATAGTTGATAGATATAAATGGCTCGGTCTTGCTAAAAATTCATTCATCTTGCTCCAGCGACGTGCACGGCGTAATCTAGAGGTGCTTTTGTCTCGTCGAGAGGTAACAAGATCCTGAGATAATCCTTTCGAGCATGAATCCACGCAGGATCTATCCGGTCGCTTCTATTTCTGGATTCTCCGGAGGAATATCTTTTTTCCACGAAGGCAATTCATTACAATTATCTTGACTGGGCACTTGTTTGCCATTCATGAAATTGTGTTTATACATTCTCAATTGATATCGCGGCATTTTTAATCAATTCTGTGTATGTGTGTGCGGACGTATTTATTTTTATTTCATTTTCAGCTTCGGAGCTAGTCTTACTTAGTTGATTTGATAGGAAATTTAGTTGATAGCATGGGCGGAAGAATACGTTTAATTTCGATCTCGTATATACATTCTTACGATTTTGTAAATATTGACTGTTGCGAAGAATACTGCCGAGGTGGTTGAATTAGTACAGCCCGGTTAGTGGGGAGGTCCAGATTTGACTTCCAGCTGAGGTAATATTTTTCGCAACAATTTTTGATAGAGATTAGAATAAAAAAAAACATTGATTACTAATTAACATAACAATTAGATAAAGATTTTCAGGGGGTTACAATGTATAACTATATTATTAGTATTTAAGGACCAGTTCATTCATAGAAGGCTGTCGCCGCGTTTGTTTGTCCGGAAAAAATCGGCACGTTCGCAATATATGACGAATAACTTCGTCCTTTCACAATACTATTAATTTTCAAATGATCATCAGATCATCCGTGCTTCGGCTCCTCGTAGCCTCGCAGCCTCGTATATTTTCGCATCATTTTTTTTCTTTTCGGATACATGAGATGTGGAGAATGATTATTCTCGAAGTAGCCACCGACGGTCGTTTTTGTCAATGTTACTTAAATGATCGTAGAATAAGGTTACAGTGTCGCAGGATCAAAATGTCCCAAGGACACGGATCCCCACCTCTAAGGTCGACCGTTGGACTAGGCACGTACCGGTCGGCCAACAACTCGGTCAGACCGTTATACCTTTACCAGCTGGAAGACCTCAATGGACCGGCACGATGATCGTGAGGCATCTTCCGTGACCTCTTATTCCTCCCGATCGTAAACACGAATTAAGCGGCTGCGAGAATTACTGACTTCGCGCCGGTCGCTGTGTATCGCACGAGTGTGCCCGTGTTGGCCGACGGCTGAGTCGAGTTTGAACGCGGCGTAAATAATCCTCGATCAATCCGTCCGGCTCGCTTCGCGATGTACTCGCGGGATAAGCGGCGGTTTTAAGAAGTAAAATTTATACTGCAAGAAATGAATACGCTGCGCGATAAAAATCGCTGATCGGAACCGAGCAGATAGAGTGCGCGAGTAAAGAGTAGAAGATGAAAGGCAGGAAGAAGGTGATGCGGCCAAAGCCCATTGAGGTCTTTCAGCACGCACGCATAACGGTCTGACCGAGTTACCGAGTACTGAAAGAAACGCTAGCGTATACTTCCGATCGAACTCTTCCCCGATAGTCGCGCGCTGATTTAAATTCGAAAACTCCGCGTCGTTCTCAGAAGGGGGAAATGTTTCCTCTTTATTATCGAGAGAAACGACGGGGAAATTGCAATAGTGTTGAAGCTGTAATTTGTCGATTACTAATTATTTAATAGTAATTTGTAATTTAATTATTTCCTCAATACTGACAGTCTATATGAGTGATATTAATAGTTACGTTTGATATTTTAGGTTTTCGCAATAAATCGATTCATAGATTTGTTCCCGACCTCACGTTCCTCATCCTAAATAAGTGAACCGAAATATTCACGAAAACGAATCCACGGAAGGAAGCGGTGTTAACTCGGAGGTTAAATAAAAAAAAAAATGACCACGCTGTTCAGTAGTAAGATACAACCGAGAGTATTTATTGGGTCAATTTCAAAAAGTCCGGCTCGATTTCTCTGCCTTCCTCGGCGACGATGGAACCGACCGATTTTTATGGCAGAGGAATACGAATGCTGTCACAGAATGTTGCCTGAGGATTATGGACAATGACAGCGATTGTTCGATTGCTGAATAATTCATTTCCGTTGAATGCAACGGAGACCGCAGTTTGACTCGAAAGTCGAACTTTTTGACCCACCCGATAAATATTGTCGCTTATGAACCGGTCAAAGAAACAAGGCGATGCCGACTCGAAGCTGACGTTCAAAGTTCAAGATCTCCCATTTATCACGACCGATCGATAATTTAACGATACCGTTGCAACACCGGTGCCAATTTCGAGAACAATGCGTCCTTAACGCGAAACAAGACAGCCGTTTCCACTTCCTCTTCTCATCTTCTGAGCCTCGCTCGCTCGTGCTGATGTGTAACGCACGGCGTGTGCGCGTCGAGCGTGGCACCAAGGTGAAGTGCACGCGCGCCCACGAGAGAAACGCCATTCATTCGAACAAAGCGAATCGTCGCCGATCGCGCTTCACAGTTCGCGAACTGTTCATATACCGTGAATGCATCCGTCGTCCCGGCAAACGATCGCGATGCGTTACCGGGATAATTTCATGCCCGCTAGGTCGCCGATTGCCGGTTAACCGTGGAATAATTTCATTTGCGACGTTGCCCGCCGCCTACGGTGCGCGGGTACGCAAGAGCGGCGCGAGTGAAAGCGGTGAGGCGCTCGCGTGACGAAAATGTCCCGGCTCGCTGATGGCCAATGAGTAACACCGTGCTTATAATAACATTAAGATAATAATTACGGTGCCGAGATCGGCGTAGGAGTAACGACGGTCTTGCATGCATCTTTCGGATAATGGACGATGCGTGTACGCGTAGCCGATTGAATCGTTTGATGGGACGCTCGACGATCAACGAGTTTATTGTCGAAGAACAAGATACTTGGAAGATTTCAGCGGATAATATCGTTCACGTAGTGACGGTCTCACTAAAAGCGAGAGACGAGATCCTCTGTATTACGTAATTAATTATTTACGTAGTCAATTGTAACGTTTCTCATGAATCTTTCAGGTACTTTCGTCGTCCACGAGGCGTCTTCTCGTGAACTTTTGTATTGTTGATTAAATTGCGGTTAAATTCTGCGGTAATGTACTTACAGCCCAGGTATATGGAGACGCCCGAAAAGAGGAGGAAGAGTAAGAAGGCGGCGAGGACGCAGCATCCGCAACGGTATTGGCCGCCGAGCTTTCTGGTGAAGCGGATGTCGCTGTCGGAAGACAAGATAGAACTTGGTGTCCCGGCTCGGCTGAATCTCCTGGTGCTCACCGTACTCACTGAGATCTACGAACAGAGACGCACAGGCGCTTTATATCGGCGATCTCGACAATGTAACCGGATGCATACACACGTCGTCGAAAATTCGCAACATGAGTCATAGTGAAGAACGGAAGGAGAAAATGTTATCGATGTAAGATTAGATGAAACGAGCGAGAAACAATCGATCGTAAATCAAGTAAGTACGTTTTGGTCTATATGCTATAACGGATTCTTCATAGATTTGACGATGACAGAATATTTGACCGCTCTAAGACTGATTTTCATAATAATAACTTCAGATCTGTAATCAGCGGCCACGAAAATCCTATGTAAATAATTTATATCAAAATTTAAATAAGTTTCTTTTGCATCCATGTTAAATTCATAACTTTGAATTTTCCTATTTTGACTTCAGACTTGTGATCGGCGACCTCGCGAAACCCTTGTAACAATACTGATTTTAATTTCACTTGTAATGGATTTCCCCGGGGTTAATGTATTAAATAAAAGAATTTAAACGCAGGCTCATATCAACGCTTTTGATACTTTCAGCTCCATAATTTTCCTTTATTCTATAAGTTCCTTTCTCTTTACATCTTCAGAATCAATGTTGCTTAATATCGTAATGAAATAAAATCTCGGTAACGACAAACCGCGTTACGAAAGGGAGAATTGCTGAAACACACCGGTAAATAATAGTGGGCGATGTCTCTCCGCTGATGGAACATTCCATTCTCCCTCGTAGCATCAATAAATTTTTACCAGTCGAAGGAACGAGGGAGGGGGATCACCGTGATTCCTCATTGCGGCACGACTTACATTAACGATCGCATCGCTTCCGTCTCAGAGCCGAGACAAAGCGAGGCGATCGCGCGGGCTGGTCGAGATCCAGTCGCGATGTCGGAACGAAGGAACAACTTATCGACACCTCTATCCAACTGTGTTATCTTCGCGGAGAGTCAACCCGAGTGAATAAATTAAAAAGGCCAAAATAAGTACGATATGCACGCAATACGCCTACGGTGGCTTAAATTCACAAGTATTAACCCGAGAAATGTATACTTTCTGATAAAATCATTAAGCGCGGAGTAAGGTCTAGCGAATCCCACGACATTTAATTCTCCTCTCCTTTCGGACTTTCTTCGTAGGGAAAAGAATGAGAGCTCGTTCGGCCGGCGGTTTTAGAATCCGCCGTCGGAAACGAATCAAACAGACGTCGGAGGGAGTGTTCACCGTGGCAATCACACGCGAATCGCGCGTAGCCCCCGGGAAGAGAGAAGAGAAGACGGGGGAACCCTCTGTGACAGGTTTGTGTGCGCGCACGTACACACGTGCGTTTGAATCGCGTGCCCAAGAGGAATACCCTCGACACCTCTTCACGTGTCTTCCCGCGGCTACAAATGATGCGTTATGCAACGGTATTAAACAAGCGGCGCGATGTGTGCACGTAGCGCGATCGACACGCGGTCATTGCGTGCGAGACAGATGGGACACGCGTGTTGCGCACGCATCCGTCAATCCCCGGTACGCGACCTGTGCTCGCGTTCAGCAGCGGGCAGCCGCGAATATTCAAGCGGCCGTGTAATCGTCACGGTGTAACCTCGTCGTCCGCGATGTAGCTTCCCCTGGTGCACACGCGCGCTCAGGCGGTCGCAATGCAGCGCGATATGCCTACGCCTTCTTCTGTCCGCTCAAATGCTACGCCCGGCACACGCTCCGGCGCGAAGGATCTCGCGCGCGTGCAACCCGCAGGATGGGTAATCAGAGGTGCCTGGATACGGCCGCTGCAAAGGTCGTTGCAGAGGAGTTAAAGAAGTCGAATTCTCCGGCCAAACCGCGTTAGCGAAATAACTCGCTCGCGGGGAAGTGTGACAATTGATTTCGCGTCTGCCGCGGTAACAATGGGCGCGTTCGGGAATGCCGCTCGACGGGAGCGCTTATTAACCAATCACGGTAAAGAAATCTTCGCTCTTTCTATCACTCTATCTTGATTGGCCAATTCAATGCTACTCTACTTGTCGAGTGGGATTTCGGAACGCGCGGGTGGGCGCGTTGCGACACTTTGAAAGTCGACAAACTTTCGGAAAGTCGGGTAACTCGTTACACTCAACGTCAAAATCGGGAATTTTTCTCGAATAACTGCGACAACTTTCGTTTTGTACGATTTTCTCGGTGCATGTGATCCTGAAACAGCTCGAAATAGAAGCGCGGACTCCGTTCGCTTGGAAATTAAAGTTGATGCAGCGCGTTTCAGTATAATTTCCGCTTATGGAAACACAGCTTATTCGAGAATAACATAGATTGACGGGAGTGACCCTGGCTGAATTATCTAGCCTCGCAATAATGAGACCTGTTATTTCGCGCTGCAGTTCAACTGTGTCATTTGCTGTGGAGTTATACTAATATTTAGATAGGTGGGAAAGCATATCCTTAATCGTTCTATTAACGATGCCGGCGGACAAAAGTGCAGCCTGCGATCTGAACGTTAGGTAATAGTAAATATCCAAATGACGTCCGTGAGAGTTGACCCGATTTTCTCGCACGACCCGTGTATGAGAACTATGCTTAAACACAAACACACATCACGTGGCCGCCAGCTGGCAAACGAGATATTATCTCGAACTTTATTTTCAATCACTTCCGCACTGCGATGCACGCCCATAAGCATTCATTATCTAATTACGTTAGTTAAGGCGATACTGACACGTTCCCGTAATTACGGGATATAGGTCTGTTAATCCGCGTTTAAAAGTTACGATTTAATGAACTCTCCACATCTATTAAAGCGCCTGCCGCGACGAGTAAATCCGGCAATTCAAGGAAAACCCGACGAGATTAACATTGAACGAGGATCGATCAAACCGTGAACATAGATCGTACATCAATTTATCATTTACTTTATCTAGCGTATAAATCGTATATAGCAGAATTAAAGAAAAGTAGTTAACGAAATGATCGTTAGCGTAACTCAGCTAACAAGATGACGTCAAATGACGTCTTAACGATGTCTTATTGACGTTGGAGACGTAATTAAGACATTATTAAGACGTCATTTGACGTTATCTCGTTAACTGTGAAAGAACGAGAAACGCACGTAAAGATTAACAAATTCTTCAATCGACTTCCAGATGATCGATCGTGACTTAATGCGCTGACACGTAATATATGTTTACGTATACGTATTATGTAATTTAATTTAATGTAAGACATGTCTTCTTCAGCATACAATATTCGCAGCGCATATAATGATACCTGTGCGCGCGTAAAATATTTCCCCGCGAGACCGCAAAGCCTGAGCCGGTAGAAAAGTTCCCCCTTTTACTACGTCGTTACATAAGAGCGACTCATAAAAATGTACACTATATATCCACGTTCGTTGTGAAACTGGCGATAGCGCACGATGGACGCGAGAAATTGCCTTTAGATCATGGATATCAGCCGCTTCGCGAACAATGCTCGGACTACGCGGGATTTTTAATTCGATCCACATCATCGACTCTGACATAATATTGCGATGCGACTGTACGGAATCAACGATATCGCCATTGTTTATTTCTCGTCTAAATTTCGGTTATATATTTCACGGTAAAGTATAATTAAATATTGTGCAATCGATTAAATTCAGAGGAAGAAAAAAGGTTAGAAAATTAATAAAATAATTTTCCGCGAAAAGCAATGTATCCTCCATGATATCGTGTCGATATCGGGGAATACATATATGTATTCAAGTATTTAAGAGGAAGAATAAATGTTAATCTTTTAAATAAAAAATACCAGTGAAAGGAGATGACACGAAGAAGATGACACGCGAAAATTCTTCAAGCACAAAGTAACAAGTTCGTTTCAACTGGTAATCTACAAATAACATTTAATGCCAGCGAAAACTAAGCCGGCTTATTGTTTGATCGTTACGTAAGACTCGCAATAATGGCAAAAAGGGCGGCCGTACCGAACAATAGTGCGAAAGACATTACGAAAGTCGATCGAAAGTTCGCGTACCGTGCATTTGCGGCGTTCCAGCCTAGTTTGGCGTTTGCACCCATGTTTTTGTTAGAAAAAAACTCTCCCATTCTTAGGCAATATATTCGTTGCGCGTGCGATTTTTACAACGAAACAACCAATGGCAAATCAATATCCTGCTTCCTCCAATGAGGCACAAAACAGATCGATGCGTTTGAATGCATGTGAAATAAAGGTATCCGGCAATTCTTCAGCTGCGCGCGTGCAATAAAGCGAAAAGGTCAGGAGAGTTGGTCTTCTATGAGGAAAGAAACCTTTGCGGCTCTTAAAGATACTCGTCTATTCGCGCGCGAAAAGAGAACAATAATAGCATGGTAAGAATGTATTAAATCATAAGAGGGAGGGTAACATGATAAGAGAAACAAATTCTAATATTTAAGAAGAAAAAAGAGGAAATTCGTCCCTCGAATGTATTAATTTCTTCTTTGGGAATATTAACATAAAAAGAAATAAGCAGAGGAAGAATGTGGTAATGCTTAGCACTAAATGTCATTACCTGTTGAGATATCGGGTCAATGAAAAAGTTCAGTTTGATTTTCAACAGGTGGCTTCATATACATGCGATATAGGCAGCAATGTTGATAATATCTATGTATTACGCGTGAGCGAGGTATTATGGACAACGACGATGATTACGTGGATTGATAAAAAATTCGCTCCCATTAAATGCATAATGTTCCATTAAATGCAAATTCATCTGAAAAAAATGAATCTGACGTTTCGACCGATCTAACATGTTGAAATTATATATACACACATAAACATATATAAATAAAGAGAGAAGCTGTCCTCCTTGCGTTTACGCTTGATTTCACGCCAGGCTCGCGCCGGAAGAATAAAACCGCGGAGTCGGATGACCACGTTTCGCGCTAAATGCGGCTGCGAAACAGGGGTACGAATGTGGACTTCCTCCTGTTGAACCGGATTCTCCTAAAACGATCGCCACAATGAAAGCGTATGCGAGCGCTTTGGTAAGCTACTTATAAATCCGCGACGACCGGCGCAACAAACGAACGAGCCCCCGATTATCTCGGGGCTGGGAAAGAAAGTGCACGCGCACGGGGGAGGGGAGAAGAATGCAAATGTTAGGTAAATGGACGCGGTTGACCGCAGTTGTGAGTTTCATGCCGATCTCGATAATGAGCCGTTTCGCGCTTGAGACGAGCTGATCCGATCTTGGACGCACCAGATTGGAAAGTAGAATCCAGCGCGGATAAACGCAGCGCTACGGCGGCAGCGATTGCAGGAAGAGATTACGACACGCTCGGACTGGCGAGCGTTTCGAGTTCTTCCGTTAATAGGTGCGGTCAATGACTTCAAGGCCGGGGGGAAAAATTAGACCTCGCCGATAGAAAAGCGCTTTCCACGACCGGTAGAGGGGAGGGCCCGTGAGGAGGAAGAGGGTAAACTTTCGTGAAAGTTTACGCGGCGTCGCCCGCATCTGCCTGCAGGTTCCGGTAGAACGGACTTCGCTAATAAACCGTCGATGCGTAATGACCGTTGAAAACGCTGCCGGCCGATTTCTCACGAGCCTCTCTTTCAGCTGCGAGAAATTACATCTACTTCGTTAACAAGAAAACCCGTCGTATTTATCGCGCTCGTGGCCGTGTAAAGAGAAACCTTTACGCGGAACGTAAGAAGTGACGGGCGCGCAAGAAAGACGTTTCTGCACAATTCAGAGAATCATCTGAATTGATCGGCCACGATCAAGGTAAAAGCGTCCCGCCGCTTTAACGACACCGACGCGCGGCTTGTGATTTGATTGATAATCGGTGACCTCTCGGTTAAAATGCGATAGAAATATCGCGCAACATTTCAATCGCATTAACCCGCTTGTGTCGATAACATATCGATAACAATCGCTCTTGTTTCCTTTCTCTCGGCGACAATTATTTTTCGTACGAGACGTGTCGGACGATGATTTATAATGAATGAATGTAAATTTATTATAAACGTAAATCCATCGCGCGTATTGTACGTTTTCGCATAACCGGCTCATTATCGAGGAATAAGTCGAATAACGCTGGTAAGGTAGTTCAGTGAAGAAAAGTTTCTTTATCGCAGCAGCCGCAGAAAACACCGTCGGCCGATTGTCAAACTGTGAAGAGAGTCAGTGTCAGTGACCGGCGGAAAGAATCTATAGCGCGTTATTCGAGCTACTGTTCTCTCGTGGCTTTCCTGACCGTTATTACCGTTATACCAAACGACAGGCCACCTTTCCAAAAGAGCAGGAATCTAGGAACGAGTTTCTGACCGTCTTAAATTACAACCCGCTCAGTCACACCGTCCACATGATACTCAACTCCTAGAACAGTTCCGTGTCCCTCGAGAAAAAGCGCTCGTGAAAAACAATAGTGGAGAGTTGATATCCTATCCATAAACTATTATCCTTCGTTGGCAGCCATTTTTTCCTCACTTGTTCCGACATGTCAGCGCCTTTTAAATTCTGAAATTCCCCGGAGAGTGTAATCAAACGTAAATATGTGTAATAAACGCGTGGTTTTGAAAAAATGCGTTTTTGATTTTCAAATAACATAATTTCTTCTCTCAAGACTTTTATGCTTTATAATTTAATATTAGGTTACATACAATTAAAATATCAGATAAAATAAAATAAAATTTTATTTACAAATTTTTTATAGAATCGAAAATTAAAAGATAAATTTTTGTACCACATATATATATATATATATATATATGTGTGTGTGTGTGTGTGTATGTATATGTGTATTCTGCTAATGACAATTGTTATAATGAGATTGTAATACTTTTGCTCGGCAGTCAAGGATAAATGTTTCGAGAAAAGGAACGTATAAATAGAGAAAAAAATTGATAGTATTCCTGTCGAGAGTCACATCTGCCTTGATATTATAATTAGGGTAATTGGTACAATCTTACATATGTAGGATTAAAAATCGTAGAAAATTTCAGTATGCAAATGTTGGGATTCATATGACATCTGATGTTTGACTGTTATCATTGAGCAAGCAGTGAGGAAGAGCGACACGTGTATGAGATCATCGACGAGACACTTCTCGATGTTGAATCCCGGCCGAGAGCGATGATCGATTACCGCTGCCCGTCGTCTGAGCTTGATCGACGAGACAGCGACAAGCGTCGCGCGCTATCTTCAAGAATACCAAGCGCGATCGGGTGTTCGTGAAGTAACGGTATCGGGAATAGAGCAGATGACGACGGCCCAACCCAGCCGACCCAACCCACCTAACGCATCGTTCTCCATTCCGGTCAGCCTAGTTCTTCGTCAATCCGCTGCCGCGTGCGTAGGTATCCAGCGGCATACGTGGCTCGGGGTCATTGGAGAACAAGGTCAATCGGTCTGGAGATGAAAAGTAGATGGATATGTGCCAGACTCGTAGCCACCAGAAGGTGGACCAAGCAGCGTGACACAATTAGCCGGGCGCGAGCGTGACCGCTCTATTGTCCCGCAATTAATGACAGAGAAATTTCGCGAATTAGACATGGTCGCTTCAATTGAAAGCTGGCGATTATTTAGCGCACGAGAACCGCAAAAATGCCTTTTCTTCCCGCAGACGACGAACAATTTCACACGCGTGACGGCAGCTTCGGGAGAACGATTCGTCATCGCCGATGGTTTCTTTTGCGAAGTCACGTTGCGGAAGAAGACATTCGTCGAACAGTAAGGATGGAGGACAAGAGGATCGAACGATCCCGTCGGCGATCGATTTGGCTCTTGGACAATCTACGACTCGTTAGCGTATTCTACGCGCTCGATTCTGAGTGATTCACCGAGCCGACAGACTTTCTGATTAACACGCTGATTGCCGCATTATATCCATTGATTATGACGAAGGCTCAAAAATTCAATTCGAAGTGGGGCATATCTTTAATCTTTAATCTTTCAGCTTCAAACGATCTCTATTGGCCAATTTATGGACGCAATTAATTATATGTAACTTGATGAAACGCGATAATATCATAATGTCAGTCACCAGTAACTACCGTAGAATTCAACGTGTCAACGAATATCCAGGAAACCTATTCCGTAACTTTTAACAGTGTCGTTGTCGTTACATGATCGTTGCGCAGATATAATATATAGTAAGTCAATAACTATTACTATCTTGAATATTTTTTATTTAAAAAAATTGTTTCTGAGAGAAGGTTATTATATTAAATTAAATTCATTATATTAAACATTAATTCTGAGCTATATTATTTAATCTTATATTCTCAAAAAAATAATGATGTCAAGAGGTTAACGCCAAGTGAAAATGATTAATTTTCAGTTTCCAATTTCATAAACACATTTCATTGCGGCCTCCTAAAGACATCCTAAAGCAAAAAATTAGGACATTTTTTAATATATAAAAAGAATGGTTATTCGCGTGCACTTGGCTCTTTTATTTACCTCTTTTGAAAAAGTCAATTTTTTACAACAATATAACAACGATATCGTCGTTGAAAGTTACAGAACAAGGCTGCAGGGTCGAGAAATCGCAAGACTTTCGGGGGCATCGACAATTGAATATCGGCAATGTACGAGTTCAAGGTTAGTTCCTTCTCCCGGCGACTCCGTTGGCCTCTCGATGACCTTTGCATCGCGACAGGGCGCAGGGGAATAAATCGGAGAAATTAATCGAAGGACGAAGAGGAGCATAAACGCGCGCGTTGATACGCGCCCGCAACGCAACTTTCACCGTAGTTATTGCACGCGGTGTGCCGCTTGATTCATTCGAAAGGACGTCGTCGCTTCTTACAGGCCGGTAGATCGCACCGGCGCGATCTCCGGGAACAAAATTAGCCTCGCTCATTTTGCACGCGAGCGAAAAATAGTATAATACCTCGCGTTGTCGTGTGAGAGAGTCCAATTAAATAATCAGAACTGCGCGCTTTCTCGCGCCCTGGTGTCGCGCCACGAGAGCTCGATGCATCGAGTCGAACATCCAGCGACGTTGGAGAGAGTCTCTCTCTTTCTCTCTTTCTCTTTCTCTTTCCCTTCATGAGAGAGCGATTATTTCCATCTCGCGATTGTTCCACCGTCCCGCAGCGTCCGCGATTATTTCTAGATAATAGCTGAAGGGGCGGGTATATTATTCTCCGAGTGATTGTTCGCGAAGTCCGTGAAACGCCGGCGAACGGGACGAAAGCATAGCGCTGCGTCAGACGGTGCGAAGCGGCAACATTATGTCATTTCGTGTTTTCTACTCGCACAGCGGTTTCTAATCAAATCGATAAAACCGCGGGTCGAGCGCGGGGGAGAAAAAGAAAAACAAACGAAGAAAGTGCGTGCTCGGGCGCGCGTACGTGAAGTTTACACGCAATGCGTTCGAAAGTGCACTCTCGGACCGTTGTTCGCACGCGTTCACCTTTATCACGAAGCATCCCGAGGTGTCAGAGTGTTGCGAGTCGTTAGAGGCTCGAAGATCGATCCCGGGGGGACTAGAAAGTGTCCCGCATGTGCGCGCATACACACACACACACACAAACGCAATATTCCGTCACTCGCGTCTCATCTCGTACCGACAGACAATTCATCGCGCGCCGCGGTTTTAACGTTTCCATTCGACTCGCACGTCGCTTTTGCCCGCGCGACGTTTTCGCACGAGGGCACGCTCCCTAATTAATGACGCGCCGGCATAATGAAGAAAGTACGCACGGCGGAGGGAAAGTGCACGGAGCCGCATGTACGAATCTCTCTCACCTTCGAGTCCCACGAGCTCTTCCGCTTGTGCTCCATCGCGACGGTCATTTTTCTGCCTGCGGTTCCTCGCGCGCTTCGTTTAGCGCTTCTCTTCCAGGACTCGACTGGGAGCCGCGAGGACCATCGTGGGATTCCGTTGCACCGAGCGCGCGTGTCCTCGCCGACGATGATCTCGGACGGCCACTCGAGGGTGACGATCTTCCACGGTGTTTTTTCCGGACTGTTTCCTCCGCCTTAACAGCCGCGAAATTGCAGATCGTCAAAGCACGTTCCCTCCCACCGATTCCTCAGCAGCCCGGTCTTTCCCGAGCGAAGATATTGGCGTCCTGATCGTTCCTGTAAGGAAGGAACATTTAAATAGCGACCGCTGCGATTATTCTCGAGGTAATGGCGGCGGTTTATGGGTCGCCTTCTCGCACAGAAGTGTGTCGAACGTGCGTATCGCGGAGGAAACACGTAAACAATACGACCCGTTTGGCCGTCGTTAAAACCTCCGATACTCTAGGTTAGTACAAACGGCCGTTCCTTGGATGAACGGGGATAAGAATTTTATTGCTTTTAAACTCGAAACTTTATTGACTGATCTCTGTTTATTAGTTCAGAAATTGTGGCTAGTAATTCTTTCGAAATACCGATTCATTCTGACGGGCAGAGAAATTCTATCGATAAAACTTGGTGTATTATTTAATAAAATAATGAGTGTTCGTTGCAAAACGCGTTGATATCTCGCGATATGTTGAGAATTGTTGAGAATGTGATATTTTCAATGTAAGTTACTCGCTGCACATGTGCGAATGATACGTTTGAGTGTTGTTATGCGCAATGAAAGGTATTAATCAATTCAATGCGATTCTTCACGGTTGAACGGCAAAGAATGACATAAATGTTTATTATGTAAAAATTTGGAGACCGCGTATGATATAATTATTGCGTTTAGGATTTCGAAACGCACTTATGTAAACTTTAGATTGTAGAACGTGGAGAAAATGAGTAAATTGCTTTCGTACATTCATGTTATGCGTGTTATAATGGTCTCATTTTAATTTCAAAACATATCATAAGTTATATTGATCTCAAGACTAAAATCGTGATGTGATATATATATATATATATATCGAATAGTCATAAATGAAGATGAGAATTACGCAAGAGTCCTAGAAGAGTCCGCGAAGATGTCCAGATGCACTCTCATGTATAAAACATTTCGGTTTTAACGAGGCGGTATAACGCGATGTTTAAAGCCCATAAATTGTATCTGTTTTATATCATCTGCAAACACTTTCTTCTCTTAAAGAACATCAATTTCTCAAATTATTTATCACTTTAATCCGCCGAATTGTTGAATCTCAGTTCTTCAATCTCAATTCTCCGATAATCGGAGTAATCAGAGGAGTGTATAAAAAAAGCTCATGTAATGTGCTCATGTATGTAATTTGGTTACATTTCATGCCATGATATACACTTTATCATCTTACAGATCTACGACGTCCATACGTAAAACTGATATCCATCAAACGATGTCCCGATATTATCGTAGAACAGGTTTAGGTTTAATTATTCAGATTTTATCTAAATTCTCAAGATAGGACGTACGAAACATGTCTTTATATGAAGAAAAATACATATTGCATTCAAGTAAATATTGTCTCAAGTATCTCATGAATTTATATATCCACAAATGTATCATAATTCCATCATAAGTATCTCATGAATTTATATATATATAAATTGTGGATATATCCACAAATGTATCATAATTCCATCATAATTTATTCAATATATATTCTAAATCTCAGTAAATTTAATACTTTGATCAAGAATATTAAATTATAACACTAAAACCAAAACTTCTGTTTACTTATTTAATTTAACCGAATTTAACTTTTCATCGATAAAGTTTATAATATTTTTGAAAAAAAAAAAACAAATTCTCTTGTACAAATGATAGTGAGCTTTTCTAATATTTGTAATAAGTATATTTTAATATTATTATCAAGAAAACATTCTTTCCAAAATAAAATAATCATTACTTAAAAAAAGAATAATAAACAGAGTAATTTTTTTCTCTGTATAGTTTTCAGTTTCTCACATGAATTACATCGCACGACGAGCGTTCCCGATTTTTACCGTCACGCCGTGATCATCCGAAGTTCACGGGGAAACGACGAAGGGGGTTGTGTTCCAGCCCTTATTCGTACCTTCAATCACTCAATGTCCCGCGAAATACCGTCACAACCACTCCGACCGGTGGAAAAACTCGGCCTGGGCACAACCGCAGTTTTTTACAAAATCCCGCGTAGGGTCACGTCGCGCAGCGACAAGCACTTCCGGAGCGGCCGTGTCCTCGTCGGAAAGAAGGCGAGCACCGTCTCGGACACACGTGTTGCCGGTGTTGGGACTATCGCAGGTGCGCTGCTGGGTCGCAGCTGCGGCGAAAACGCACTCGAGGAAAGGAGGCGACTGAGCGATCGCGCAGCGAACGAGACGTTCGCCACCTCGGTCAGGCGAGCACTTTGATCGTCGAGAGGCAGACAATTTCTCCAGCTACGGGGCCAACCGCGATCCAGGGGATTGTCCTGGACTCGAGGCGAGACTGCTAGGAGAACGGTGGCCTGCCTGCCTGTTTGCTTGCCTGCTTGCTTGTCTGCTTCTCGCTTGTGGATGCACTTTCACGTCATTACCGGTTCTCTACGGCGCCCGCGAGAACACAGTTACGGACTAGTCCGGAGCAAGGACGCCTGTCTCTTATCCATCCTGGTGGTTCTTCTCTCTCCCTGTCTGTTCCCGTATTCCTCCGTCTCTTCCTGCTCCCGCTCGTATCGCTCCCACAACTTCCGGCTTGTCTCTCTCGCTGATCCTTTCCGGCTGATTTAACTCGTCTTACGGTTCCGCCATATTACCGATCACGTCTGCCGATCATCGCCCCCGTCATCATCTTGCATCTATCTTCGTTTCCGCCGACTTTCTTGTTTCTGTCTGATTCCATTCGGTCTTATTTCTCCCTTTGATCCTTATTTGCCGTTTTCTTCGAGTCACCTTACGAAGGCACGAAGGTGTCTCGATTGTGCGCCAAGGTACGTACGTCACACTCGTCCAAAAGGAGGATATTTCGACAGAAGACCCTCGCGCTCTCGTTAGCTGCAACGCTTCTTTGTGAAACCGTGCGTAAAGATCGAAATCACGTGTAAACCGTTACGCACATCGCCCGGTATGTGATAAATGCGACATTCCGAAAGTGGCTTTTAATGGGACGTGTTTCAAACGGACTGTGTAAACTCAGTTTCTTTGTTTCGAGAATTACGTCTCTCGCAATTTCACGGGTGATAGATGCGCCGGAATTTGTATTAATATCGCGCCGGCGAGCTGAGCGAGACGACGATCCTGTTATATTAATTGCTGGCCATTCTTTAATTAACTTCCACTATCCTTGGGTACATTTCTCTTCTGCGGAACGGCGATCCTGTCGGCCTCGAGTCCATGAATTACCCGTTGTAATTTTACAGTATATACGTCGTCGGGATAGTTGTGGAGTTGTACAATTATCAATAATCGACACATATGAATGACATTCATGATGTTCGATACATACATCGACGGGAACGCGTAACGGTAAATCTCGGACAGGTGTCTCGCCGAGACATTTAAAGAGACAATCGCACGCGATCTCGCGACAAGATCAGCATTTAGACCGGCCAAAGAGTTTGCAGCAATTTACTCCCACGAGCTTAAGCCGGGCAGAACGGGTAGAATTGTTCTGGGGCGACGTTATGGATGCACTTTCACGTCATTATCGCCGATGCCACGGCACACATGTGCAGGTGTTTAAACAAGATACCGTTTCGAGCCTCTTAGCGGATCTACAACTAATTCATTCTATTGTGCCGGTGTACCGGCATTGTTAATGACGAATATTGCGCCTTTGAATGCCCTTTATGCTTGTCCTCAACTTACTATACCTCAAATACTACAATAGTTGTATTTTTTGTTTGTCTTCTCCTTGTACACAGAGCGTAATAAATTGGTTTACTGGGATAATGAAAAAACTTATATGCCGAAAAGAGATTCGTCTTTGCAATTATATTATATTATTAATGTGTTTATATTTATATGTATTTATATTATATTATATTATTAATGTAATGTTCTTTTAATAGAAAAATTATTCAGAATTCGGAGTAAAAAAATGCTGTATTAATTTCTTCATTAATTGGGTAAGGTTTTAAGGAGAATATAATATTATATGCTTGGGATCACACGTAAGAATTTATTTAGCGTGAAAGGTCGATTCCTCGCGTGTGTTTGACTAGAGATTAGTTTAGTGCCTGGCGTAATTACACGTTAAATATTTATATTATCCGCTCACAATTTAAATTGCTACAACAGCTGCGATTAGGTTCTTATAAGCTTGTCTATTTTTTCTTACTTAAAAAAATGATCTCAAAGGACAGCATCGAATTTTGAACAAACAACTATCGTTATGCTTCGAGGGAGAATGAATCTCGATTGATGAAGGAATATTTTTCCGACAGGTTGCATCAAGCAATGACATTTGATTATAGTAGATTGTGTATATTTCAAGGGTAACAAGACAGGTTTTGAAATCGACGCGATGAAAATATGCGTGTTTCTTGTTACAGATTGCACATTGATACAGGCGATGCAAATATTGAGTTAATTTTGCTGAGGACAGAATTAATGTTTTCTAAATGTCATGAGAAGCAAACCAGATTTAATGGATAGAGTACGAGTTCTGAAAAAAATAATTTAAATCATTTATTCTTGGATATATGAATGTGGTACTCCTTTGAAAGCCACCACACGCTCATTAGTTCTTTCATATAAATAGTGGGAATCAATCAACTGTTCCGTTTTTAAATATATACGACCGTTTTATTAGACGCGAAATTTACATTTACGCGAGCATTAACATCTCGAAGATAACGTATAGATAAAATCCGATACTTGACGTTTCCATGTCGTCTCGATTTCATGTTCCGAGATAACTGTCTGACTCGGTTACGAAAGCAATACACCGTCAGTGATACATACAAGAGTGTAAGCGTATCCGCGAACAGAAATCACGATAAAGTTTATTTAAATAGAAATTGAACTGTGAAGATTATATTTTACCGTTGTAGAAATTCTCCTCGATCGAGAGAATATGCACGTTTCGAAAGGATTTCCAAATAACTAACAGATATCTACGATGAATTTGTGCGAGCAGTATCGTTATATTTAAATATCTTTATATTTAATACAGTTTTCTTTACATATATTTGTGTAAATTTTATACGAATTCTCTCTAATTCTGAAATATTACTCGTTGAGGCTACATAGATATTTTAATTAAGATCAACCACAGTCCGTAGGAACGTAGTTGAAACGTAGAAACACATGAAACTTATCGAAAACTTAAACCTTATCAAATCGACTCTCAAGACCCAACTATTGAACCGTATTATATTTTAAAACGGTTACTTAAAAAAGCTTTCAGCTAAGTTAATCAGCTCAAACAATATTATAACACGGTCGACTGACCGTATAATAAAACATAATTGTCTCTAATTTAATAACGAATATTTTTTGTGCATCTCTTATTCATTTATATAAATTTCACATTTCAAGATATGTATTGTGGACGATCCAACGTTTATTTCATAATTGTATAAGTGATAATATTTTTTCATCAAACATATTCGTACGCACTTAATACATATTGTTACCAATTACAAGATAAAAAGTAAGAATAAAGATAATATAAAGAATATTTCAGGAAAGATTAATAAGATACACCTTATAAGACGAAAAAATATTTCAAGAAAGTATTGTCGGATAGAAAGCCTATCTTTTGCAAATACAAATATTGTGACGCGCACGACGGAATATCGGGACTTTGACGCGAAGCCTTATCGAGGACCGCGGTTATTTTAAGTCACAAAACATACCTGGGCTGCAAAGAATGTGGAAGGACGAGTTTAAAGAGGCTAAAAGAACATAAAAGACAACGCGATAGCGAAGCCCGCTATTTTCAGACTTACCTGAATCCCGAATGAAGATCCTTTAATCCCCCAATCCCTGGTAGAACGACCTTCGTTCTTCGTGTTATCGACCGGTCTTTATTTCCCCAGAAAACTAGAACAGAATATCTTCCTGGGAACTTGTTTTCACTTAAACGAAAAAATTCTACGCTAGTCGGGCTCGCCTCGAGTTAAATAGTACCTTAGCGCGTACACCTCGGCGGACGACAGTTGTCCGGAAACGATATGCTCGATAAGCGAGCCGATTTTTAACGCGTCTTCCGCACCCGAAGAAACGACGGGACTCCTCAAGGCATGTCGTCTCCTTCTCCGTGTCGTATTAAGGAACAACCGTTAACGCGGGATACGAGGGCCTTCGAGACGCGTGTTGCACGCACGAATGTGCATCGCTCGAGAGTCGGTCGGCGATTAATGACCCGACGGTGCCGTACGCGCGGCACCCTTCACCGAGCAGAAGAGGAAAGAACGACGGATGATGGTCCCGCGACAAATTGTGCGTGTCGGTGTCCTGTAACGTCTTACCTCGAGACACAGAAGCAGCGTTCGCCGAGCTGGCAAGTGAAAGTCTCGCTGGGACTATTTTTCTCATTTTGTAGCATAAATATTAATGCCGAAATGAACGATCGCTGAGTCTCGCACGTGGAATCACTTATACCGCAGCGTTAAATAAATTCCTGAAATTAATATTTATAAATGTTCTCGCCTTTTAATGCTACAAGATTGGAACAGATAAAAATAGAAGAAACAGATACATGGTATTTTGTGCGCATAGGTATCTGAAATCTACGCAATTCGATACTTTTATTTGGCGAATTCTTTAATTTAAAAAATATATTTAATTATACGAACTTATTTAATGTTTCATCCAAATTCAATCAGTTAAAAAAATATTAATTCTCTTTTACTCAGTTTGTTGTAAGGTCAGATGGATTTTTATTTCTAAAGACAAAAGTTTTACCATTGTTGGAACGTAAAGAATGAAACTCTATTCAATTTCCTGTGGAGGCGTGCTGTGTGAAAATAAAAAAAGTTTTAACTTTTCATTGAAATATATATTATTTAAAACTAAAAGTCCATCTGATATGTCGTCAGATCATACCACTTGAAAAAATTAAAAGTAAAAAGTTTCTAACCTGCAAGTTTGTCGTAATATAACTTCGATTTGTTGATGAAAATAACAGTTGCTTGAAGCGGACACTTTAGAGAATTATATTTAAAAATAACATTTTTTAGACTAGGTAAAATCTTTTTTTTAATATATCAATGTACACAGGAGACAATTTTAACGAACTATTTAGCGATATCGCGAAAAAACAAGTTATGTCGAGAGGGTTCGGATCTCGACTACTTTTGTAATAGTTTGCGAGTCTCCGCTACGAGCCGCCACCATCTATATAGTCGTAGTACAATACAACGTCTGATTAAATCTTTTCTTATTTTCATGTATGATTCAACGACAAAGTAAAATTTCTTAAATAACACGACTCGAATTTCGCAAATTTTCATTCATAATTTGAAAACATCAAAAGGATAATCGGAACTTTTTATCGGAAACGTAACTGGACTTCGAGTTATCGATAGATCGTGGTTCGCTCCTAACCTCGACCGTTTGATAAAACATGGCGGTAGCTGTTGGAGGTATATATTTTATCTTAATTCTTCAAATTTCCCGTTAAATCGAATGACAAAATAATTTCACCGAAATTTCGTGATTTTGTTAATCGTTATAAGGCAACAGATAATAATGAGATCTTTATAACAAGTGCCTTTCTTTGTAAAAATAGTTTTCATATATTATAACCTTTCAGGTTATACCTGTGTTATTTGCTTGAATAAATAGAAACAGTGTTACACTTCCTTTCATATCTATAGGAAAGTTTTCTTCGACCGATGTGTTTTGCAGGCTGGCTACTAAATAGTTTCTCTTCAACCTACAAACATGCGATAAACTATAATTTTCTCCCAATCAGTTTTTTACAAACACGGAATTATGCCGCTAGAAAAGGTACTAGAGAAAAAGCGAGGAAGAAAAAAGTCAAAGTGGTTATTGAGAAAGTGGGCTTTATTCCGCATAACTTGAGAGCGGCGCAAGCGTAAGTACTTAGTTCATATAACATTTGTGAATAATATCATTATATCTCTTGTTCCATGATTGAATTGTTTATTTTTCATTCTATATCTATTCATATATTTTGATATAGTGTACACGCAAAGATGAATACATACATTATGTTTATTTTACATGTTACCAACAGTGCAGCTAAGAAGAAGAAGGCCTTGGTTTTAAACGATATCATAGACGATGATAGTAAAAAGACAGAAGCTATAGATAATATATGGATTATAAAGGACCACAAATGGAAAATATATTCATTCGAAGAAGCTGTACAGGCTCATCGTGAAATATATCATCCCACTATCTATAACTCGCCAAATGCTTTCTTAAAAGCATTCGTAGAATTAGATATGCAGGTAGGAAGAGATACATATGTTTAAATTGCTCATTATACACATACATGTATAATATCGTGTATCATTAGGGTATGAAAAAAACGAAATTTGTCGATAATTTCACGAAAATAGCGTGTATACCAAATGGATTCGAACATGGCCAAGTCAGGAAGATATTGGCATTTTGCAAGAGTCCTGAAACGCAAGATATTGCAAAAAATGCTGGCGCACATTTGTACGGTGGTAAAGATTTAATAAAACAGATTCAGGTATATAAGAATAATATTACCGTTTTAATCAAATATAAAATATTATAATAGTAATCGTATAACATATACCTAGAATTCAAGTAGATTACATTTTCTAATCCATTGCTTGTGGGATCTGTGTTATTTTAGCAAGGAAAGCTCTCAATCAAGGAGTATGATATCATTGTATCAGAACCAAGTCTATTACCTGATTTGCTGCTAATTAGAGGAATCATGAAGAAAAAATTTCCTAATTCTAAATTTGGTAAGTAGAAATATATATATATATCAATTAAATTTCGGAACTTTACCTGTGATACGTGTATCATATGACTTATGCTTTATCAGGTACTTTGGGTACTGATATGAATATGCTCGTAACGAAATTTGTGAACGGTGTGAAGTACACAGCAAAGCAGCATGAAATGCAGAAATCTTACGGCACCACAGATGTCATAATCGGGACGGTAAGTTTTCTAATGTCATATTTAATGTCATGTTATTTGTGAAATTATATATTTATGTAATTTTATATCTTAAATATAGATTTAGGGTTAACCATCGTTATATCGCACCAATTGAACAGCCTGAAATAATCATTAATCCATTTGTTGTGTTTTAGCTTAATATGGATGTAAAGCAATTAGAAGAAAATCTCGTTGCCATTATCAACGACATTAACGATGCAAAGCCACGTCGACCAGGACCTTTCATCACAAGGTGACTTGAAGAATCATACACAGTAAAATGGCGACCGAGTTCTTTAGGTGTTGCATAATTATATAGTTGTTATTCTTCAACAGAGTTCGTCTTACGAGCCCACTCACGTCGGAAATGTTCAAGATTGAATTTGAACAGTATCTACCGAAAGATAGCGTAGCCATAGAAGGAGAAGAAGAAGAAGAAAAGGACGATACGCCAGATGTTGTCATTGCATCTCACTAATTGCTTATAGAGACACCAATGAAATAAAAATTAGTTAAATATATTTACGTTAATATAATAAGAACCATTGTTTTCCTCCTGTTGTCGCTGATACTTCACTAACACATATGATTTCTACCAAACAACCATATACTGTGAAGTTTTACGCACATTAAACGACCTACTTGCAGAAAATTTACGTTTCTGAATTTTCCACAAGTTTCTGTTAAATTAATATTGAAGTGTTTATAAATTTCATAGATCGCATATCACGGCATACCTACACCTGCTGCGATTCTACCTTTTAATCTGCATTTGTGTCGAGTCATGTTCACGTGAACTGTATGTAACTGCATTATCATTATTCATGGCGTTGTGTAGTCCGACCGTGATAGTATTTCGCCGAAAGATGCGTGATTATGCGGGACATAATCTCGTTAACGCCGATCGCTCAACTCGAGAACACAAATGATTATTGCCCGCCACTTGTACGTTAATAAGCCACGGTAGCGCGACATTAGGGAGGGAGACAGAGGCGGCACTATAGATATCGGTGCCCTAGGCAATTTATTGTTCATGAATATCGCGAGATAATTGTTTATGCAGGCAATCATACGCATGAGGATTTCGACCAAAGTATTTATTAGCTCTTGCCACGTGCGAAGTCTCCGGTGAGACCTTACTAGTTCAGTACGAAATCCTCGTGCATACGTGTAAACATCTCTGCATGTACCGAGCTACAGTTGATCGCAGTTCAAGGTGAATGCCTCGCTCTCGTGTCGCATCGACACATTTTACAGCAAAAGCGTCTACAGTGGAGAAATATTGAATTTTTGTTCTCTTCCATGTATATAATTCGATAGAAAACCCTCAATGAATACGCTTATTGTTTGCAAAGATCACGCATACGGATCGCGTTTGCGCCCCAAATGCAACGTATATGCAGATATGAGGATACTATAGACGCGAAGGTGTTCATTGTAATCTAAGGCGGATTAAACCTAGCGAGATTTCTACAAAAAGTGCGTCACGCGACGGCTACATATTCCGAACGCTCCTATCTAGGTGGAACATAAGAAGACGATGACGTCAGAATGATGGGGAAATGATGGAAAAGTGGGTTTTTCGTAGTCACGTATGCGTCATTTCGACGAAATTTCGACGTCACGGTGATTTCCTGTTCTACTCGGGCACTCGTGGCGGACGGTCCGCGCAACGAGAAGCAAACGAGAGGACTCGGAAGTGCTCGCAGAGGCGGCGAGGATCCATCGGCGTACACTTTCACAGAACGCACGTACGATCTCTCACCCAGTTCGGCCGGCGCGTAGAGCCGTCTCTGCGGGAAACCGCGGGAAGCGTGCTGGTACGACGGAAGGAGCGAAGGAGGCCGAAGAAGGAAAAGGAGAAGGAGGTGAGGGCAAGTGAAGCGAAGGAAATGAGAATGGAGAACGGTGAGCGGCCGTGGTGGTGCGGCACCGACTTGGTGGAGGGGCGACGGCTCACCTACCTGCCGGTCGTGGGCTCAGTCGGTGTCCGCCAAGTTGAAAATCCGTCGCTTCTCTTGCCCTTCTTACGCCGCGCGTAACTGTACACCGTGGACCGGCCACACGAGCGATCCTCGCGCGCGCGCGTGATCCACTTTTCTTTTTATTTCAGTGTGAGAACAAACGCGCGATATACTTCATTCCCGCCGGGGGATGGTGTCCTCTTGCCGGCCGGTTCACCGAACTCTCTCTCCGGTACCCGATGTTGATCGTCGCGCGGCGACTCTTTGGATAGTCGTCCCCGTCGGCCGTGATAAAGCCGGCCGAGAGAACGAGCCGGGAAATCGGGAGACACTGTGATCCGCGAGGTACTGTGTCCCCGCAAGTGTGTGCACAAGTGGAAACGCATCCACGCACGCACGCACTTACGTACGTACGCACGTGTGTACGTTGGCGCGATTTTCGCGACGCTTGCGTTGGTGTGTATGTGTGTTTACGTATGGTGATATCCGTGCTGACTGTGCAGGGTGCAACGACTCGGCGAGAAAGAGAGAGAGAGAGAGAAAGAGAGAAGAACGAGCCGAGAGACTGCCGATTTCAAGTCGCAACTTCTCCTCTGCCTCCGCCGGCCTCCTCGTAGACATGTCCCTGCTGGACGCCCAACTGCGGCATTAGGTGACATATAGGCGCGCACGTGCACCAGTCATGGTAAGTCTCGCACTTACTTCGTCGTCTTGGCTCGAAACGTGCGCTCGTCAAAGCGCATGAACGTGTACCTGCCGACTCTCGGCAACCGTTCTTTCTTTTGAGAGCTCGAAAACCGGGCCGTCCGGAAAAAACGACGCCCACTTTTCCCGGTGCGCCTCGGAACGCAGCCGATGCTCTGTGCGAAAAGACTTTTTTTTTCTCCCCCTCTGAAACCGATTCTCTCGGCGGCGTCTCGAATTTCATCGGAAGTAAAGAAACGTGCGCCAAGCGTTGCGCAAACGGTAGCTCGCCTCGATAGCTTCAAGCAACTCTGAGATTTACATTCAACGTGAGAGACACGTGCGATCATTTTTTCGTACTTTATTCTGCTCGGCGATCGAGTCACTCTTCGACTATTCTCCAGGTAGCGCAAGACGTCTTAAAATCATCCCGAACGTCTCCAAGCCCTTCGGAAAATCATGTGAAAATGACGAGAAAGTGATCAGTTCACGGTCGAAAAGTGAGTTATCATAGTCATTATCTCATCATTTTGACGTCACCGTGATCTTTTATCCGGGCCTTCTGGGGAATGTAGTAAGACATTTTGAGCGTATTCAAGATAATTCTGGAATGTATCGTGTCGAGCTTCTTCCATATCACGTACGAACGTAAGGGAATACCGTGGAAAAGCCGGGAAATTCCCGTGAATTGGGGATAAAGTTAATTCGCACGCGCGGCCAGCACGTAACTTATAAAGTCGATCTGATACCTGCTCGAAGATATACTATCGGTAACGTATTATTACGGGTATACGGTGAACGCTGAAGCGTAACTCTCGTTTCTCACGAGTTTTACCGATCCTTGGAGCAATTGTGGAAAGCATCGTGCAAAGTCGTATCTCACCCCCCGCCCCCCTCCCCCTCTCCTGTGCGTCGAAATTATACGCGCGGTTGCTCTCACGTGCGTGGAGTTTAAAGGGCGTCTTATAAAGGTCGACGTGACGAGATACGGTGAGCGAGCGGACTCTGATATCTTCATTTCGCTTGCGCGAACTCCGCGAGAGAGGAAGCGCGCAAGGTGAACGCCGACTGCCGGATTGGTATGCAGTGTACGTAATTTGCATGGGTGTCGTTATTATGGCATACACGCGAACACGTATTTCGCGTGGCACCATCGACAGTCGCGGGCGTCCCTCGCCGATGATAATCGCGGACTATCCATTCTCGACGCCGCGACGTCGAAGAGATTCCGCAGGAGGCGAATCACCGCCCGCGGCGGGGACTTCAACGGCGAGGGAGCGTTTTATGTAAGCGTCCGCCGGTTGACAAATCGTCGTTGGAAAATATCTTTTGTTCGACTTTTACCGCGGTGTTGTTATCAATCGTGACTGGCGAGAAACGCCAATTCAAATCACGTTAGCGTTTCGCGCGACCTGGCGCGCAACTATTCCGGCAGCTGTTTCGTGCGATCGGCGACGGCCGATAGCCGCTCTGGTTGATCTCTATCAGCTTCTAAATTATCCGAGTTATTAACACGATAAGAGAATTTTCTTCCAAGCGTTTTTACACATTCGACACATTCGAGAAGGCTCGGTTGGTCTGGCGGATTGGCGCAGCGCATAAAAAAGTCACGACCACGTTCGTGTCTGTTTATTAATACCGAACACTATTATCCCCTTGATCATAGACGACGATAGGTCACAATAATTATCCATACTTGTGTTATAAATTTATGTAGATTAGTAATACACTTTTTCTGAAAGAGTAAAAACACCTGTGATACGTTGGGGAGCGCGCTATTAGCGCTGATCACCGCTAACGAGTTTTTCTATCCTCGTCGTATATCTAATGAGGAACGAAGATAAGATAATGTGTTAGCGCTGATAGCCTAACGGTCCCCGTACGCAGTCTGCGTGAAAATCCAAGAGACTATATTGAAAAGTGAAATACTTCTAAATGTTTTACTATTTTTCTAATGAATTTCATTTCTAGCTCGTGTAAACAATTTTACAGATTATAATGATACAGTATGAATTTACTATTATATTATTTAAATAGAGTGCGGATAATTATTGTTGACTCTCGTGGATATTAGGTCGATCGTCAAGCTCGATTTCTTCGATGCCGCCGTCTTCTACCGCCAACATCGCAGTTTCTAAAGGCCGCCCGACGCCAACGTCGTTTCCAATTATTTTCAGCCAAACGTTGGCTATTGCACTTTTTAACACTCACGGCTCTCTGAGAGCGAGATCCTATTCCAAGACAAGTGAGCAGCCGCGCGCTTTACGAGAATTGCCGGTTACCGGTGCAATAATCGGGAATAATCTATATTCCCTCAGCGCGCACGTCGTGTGTGTCGTATTCAATACACTTTATCCGATACGCGGATCTCTCAGAAACGCTGTTCGCGACGTTGTAATGCGTTTCCTACTGGCAATTTTAATACATCGGCCCCCGTATCGACCGGTGAACGGACGATATATTCCGGGTTATTATCCATCGGCAGGCGTTTTATTAACACACGGCGAAATTACGGTTTTGCGAGCGCGCGTGCCCAGCACGGGCCAGTCATGCGTGCGAGATCGCCGCAAAACCCCGGCCCCAGAAGCGAATGCAAATCATACCTGTCGGGAGGTACGTGTATCTGCGCTCCCCGCCGACATTTTCCTATCTTCCGTCGACGCACAACAGCCGCGGTCTCCTAATTGCGTATCCTAACGCGGCTTCGCGGCGCCGACACGACGGAACCGGCGTGCCACGAGCTGGTCTGTTTCCTCCCCCTTCTCCTCTTTACCTCTCCCTTTTATTTTTCTATTTCTGTCTCTCTCTCTCTCTCTCTCTCTCTCTCTATTTCATCACTTTTATTTTTTCTACTATGTTTAGTGCATTCTCTG